CTACGCTACTTCTTATAGTAAAGAAACTAGATAGTAGTATTTAAATCTACGTAGACTATTACAGATTAAATACCTATACTATTAAGAACTAAAATATACTCTTACTTATTTGTAATATACTTATAAAGCTTTCTAAAGCTTATTACTTTTTTAAAGTAGACGTTATTACTACGTTTAATAAGATCTATATTAAGAATAAGTATAAGTACTTTTTTACCTTTATTACACTATATAGATTATACTAATATACTATAATACTATTTAGTATATATAATAGTCTAGAAATCTTCTAGGCCTATATTAATAATATTCTATATAAATATCTTAATAAGTTCTATATAGCGTACCTAAATAACGTTATTATTTTTAGTAAAACTAAAGAAACCTATAATAACTACCTACTACGTATAGTTACTTAGTTAGTAGACGCTAGACTTTCTATAGATATACTAAAGTTAGAATTTCTCTAGACTAAGGTAAAGTTTCTAGATCTTATTATTACTACTAATAGAATTAAGATAGATTCTAATAAGATTAGCGCTATCTAAGAATAGTAGCTTCTCTAGACTCTTAAGAATATTTAAGTATTTTTTAGATTTACTAACTTCTATTAATAATTTATATATAAGTTCTCTAATATTATAAAACCTTTTACCTATCTTATATATAGTAACTCTAAGTTATTCTAAATAATACCTAAGACGTTTTATATATTTAATAAGCTTAAACTTACTTTCTATAGTAAGGTAGTACTTACTTACTTTAACCTAGACTTTAAATATATCTTAGAAACTAATATATCTAACTATATATATACTTTAGTCTTATTATAGATCTAAAAGAATAATACTATTTACTCTATTACTTATCTATTAAAGAAGATAATACTTATAGAGTATAACTATAAAATCTATAATAAAGAACTTCTTACTATTATTAGAGTATTTAAGAAATAGTAACTTAAGCTTACTAGAGTAGCTAAGACTATAGATATTCTTACTAACTACTATAGGCTAGAATACTTCTAGTCTAAATATTACCTTAATTGCTACTAAGCTTAATAGGCTAAGTTTCTTAAGAAATTTAATTTTAAAGTAAAGTATTACTCTAGAAAGTAAGGTACAAAGCCTAATAGCTTAACTAGGTAAATAGAAGATCTTTCTAAGCATATTACTAATAATTATATCTAGCACTAGCATTAAATAATACTTAGAGACTATTAGTAGAATAGTAGTAGTTATAACGTAGTATAATTAGCTAGGCTCTGCATTAGAGAGTCTATATATAATCTTCTATCTCTTCTAACTCTTATTTATAAAGAAGAAGAGAAATTAGAATATAATAATCTTTACTAGCTAAGTATTCTTTTAGTTACTTTAGCATGTCTATTACTTTATAGTAAGCCTAATTCTTATAATAACTTAGTAGAAGCTAATAATTTATCTACTTAGAAAGTACTTAACGCGCTCTATCTATTAGATAGTTATCTTATAGCTATCTAAGACGCACTAAATAATAGAGATTACTATATTCTCTATTATCTTATTACTAAAGAGGTCTATATAGAGCTAAAAGACCTAGAATCTAGTAATAAAGAAAAGCTCTTTCTTAGTAATAACTACTTTATTATCTCTTTTAGTAAGAAGCTAAAAATACGTATTATTAAGAATATCTATAACTCTTTACTAAGTAGGTATAAAGGTAGAATAACTACGTACTAATAGGTAAGCTAGTAGTACTACTAGTAAGGTATAACTAACACTATTACGCGTTTTATAAATAACTATACTACTTATTACTACTCTAAAGTTAACTAATAAGCTAAATATAGTCTTTTCTACCTACTCTTTATTCTAGAGAAGTATTAGAAGAATATCTTTATTAACTTTATTACACTATTACTAGTATCTTTCTAGTATAATTACTTCTATTAGTATATTATAGTAGTTATTAACTATCTATCTAAAAAGAAGAAGTTTATTACTATAAAGAATATAAAAGTTTCTATAGTTATTAATAAGTTTCTTAAGTATATTTAGAGAGAGAAGAGATACTCTAAGACACTAGTATTAGATAGAAAACGCTAGTTTACTTCTTATTTTTAGCGCTACTTCTATAACTATATAGAAACCTAACTAAAGCTCTCTACTATCTATTACCTAGAGACTAATAGATAGACTAAAAATATAAATACTAATCTTAAGTAATATCTTAAGTTATACGTTAATTACCTATAGAATAACTAGGCTTACTTATTACTATTAGCTAAATTTAAAGCTAACTTAGCTATTAGCTTAGTAACTAGAGTTTCTCTATTCTAGGCTATAAAAAGCTACTAGCTTTACTTAGGTTTTAAACTAGCGCACGCTATTAATAATAACTCTACTATACTAGCGCTAGCGTAGTAGCGCGCTACTAACACTCTAGTTAGTTATATTAATATAACCTAAAAATATCTTTATAATAAGATTACTTAGTTATAATCTAAAATAAAGAACTTTACTAACATCTACTACTACTCTACACCTTATTTTACTATTAGTAACTAGGTACTTCTTAATATAAAGTATATTTATATAAAGTAACTAGTAAAGTCTCTTAACTATAAGAATATAGGCTTTTACTAGATTACGCGTATAATTAATAATATAGCTTATAAACTAGATCTTCTAGAAAGTTTTAAGAACTTATTTTCTATCTTCTACTTATAGCTACTATAACTATATAAGAATAATACCTTATCTAGGTAGCTATAAGCTAGCGACTGCGCTCTACTAGACGTTTAGCTTAACGCTAAGAGTAACACTAAATATACTATTACCTAAGTTCTTAATTTATATATTTGTAATACTATAAATAATCTCTATACTAGCTATTATAGCTATCTATAATATAAGGTTAAGTAAGTAAGTAATAATTAATCTAGTTGCTAGCAACTCTACTTTAACCTACGTAGTAGTAAGAAGTTAGTTTAAAATTTCTATAATTATAATCTAGGTAAGCTAGAACCTTATAATATATTTTATATATATAATATTTATAGTAAGCTTACTATTACTCTACTCTATCTATTAGACTCTATATACTTAGAAAGAACTAGCTAGTTATTTATAGAGTTACTTAACTATAATACTTTTAAGGCCTATTAAGTTAATTATAATATACGTTTTTACCTAACTTTAACCTCTATAGACATTAGTAGCTATAAGGTAATATCTTATTACTTTACTTAATACTATATTTCTCTACCTAATATAGAGTTCTCTATATAGGTACTCTAGCTAGCCTCTCTAATAAAGCCTTCTACAGCCTCTCTACTATAACTAATAACGTCTATTAGTATAGCGCAACCTTAAACTCTACTAGATTATTAGTCTTTAAATATATTATTAGTACTACTAAGAGTAGGCTAGAATACTAATTTCTTTTCTATTTTAGATACTTAGTTAGAACTTTAAGTGTTCTTAAGAGAGGCTATATAATAGTTTAGTTTCTAGGCGTTAGGCCTATATTAGCCTAATAGTCTATATATATATATTTAACCTCTAAGTACTTCTTTTAAGTCTTACTATAATAACATTATAATTTAATATAATATTATTATCTAATCTCTATACAACTCTTATACTTATTACTTCTTACTTTCTATTAATTACCTACCTTCTATATCTATATACTATATTATTATACTAGTAAAGCTAGCGTTATAGCTACTAATATAAAGTTTCTACTTATTATAACTTTATATTTCTACTAGCTCTTTTATACTTATATACTATATAAAGCTTTAAATCTAATTATTCTTTATTAATTATAGTAGAATATTAATATAGAGCAAGGTAATAAAACGCGGTCTAGTAACTCTATATAGTAATCTTAATATAGGTGTATTTTCTAAACACCTTATATTCGCTGTAATGTAGTAGTAGGTATTCTTTATTAATAATAGCCTAATATAGTACTACTATTTAGTATATTAGTTCTTTACTAGTTTAGTAACTCTTAGCTCTTAACTAAGATATCTACTTAACTACTAAGTAGATAATTTCTTATATATAAAGTTACTATTTTTTTTATATTTAAGTTTAAGTCTTATCTATTACTATTTTTTTTTTACTTATAATAAGTCTATAGTAGTATAATATATAAAGGCTTTAAGAGTTTATAAGTAGTAGTAGAATACTTATAAACTTAGAATAAGTAAGTAGTAGTAGAATATAAAAAGGCCTAGGCTTATAAGTAGTAGTAAAATACTTTTATTATACTATAGTAGTAGAATACTTATAAACTTAGAATAGGTAAGTAGTAGTAGAATACTTTTATTATACTATAGTAGTAGAATACTTTTATTATACTATAGTAGTAGAATACTTTTATTATACTATAGTAGTAAAATACTTTTATTATACTATAGTAGTAGAATACTTTTATTATACTATAGTAGTAGAATACTTTTATTATACTATAGTAGTAGAATACTTATAAACTTAGAATAGGTAAGTAGTAGTAGAATACTCTTATTATACTATAGTAGTAGAATACTTTTATTATACTATAGTAGTAGAATACTTTTATTATACTATAGTAGTAGAATACTTTACGTATACTATAAATACTATAGTAGTAGAATATACTAGATAGTCTATTATACTATAGTAGTAGAATACTTTACGTATACTATAAATACTATAGTAGTAGAATATACTAAATATTTTATTATACTATAGTAGTAAAATACACTAAATATTCTATTAAGCTATAGTAGTAGAATACGCTAAATATTTTATTAAGCTATAGTAGTAGAATATTTATTCTATAAACTTATTTTTTAATTATTATATAAAGAGATATAAAGGTAGTAAGATGCTAATAAATTATGTTTTAGAGTCTAATTATATTTTCTTTATATTAATATTTGTACAATAATCACTAAACAGGCCCTTAAACGCCCTCCGTGTCTCTTTCACAACTTCCATCTCCGCCGTTTGCGATGCTTCCCTCTACTGTGACCGGCGTCGGTGAAGGGAGTTTCGGAGCATGCGAATCACCCGAGCACCCATGGCGTTCGCATTGGTCTGCACACTGCGATCGCGAATGGCCTGGCGAGGCAACTGTCTGGATGCCTCTGCTTGCGCTTGGAGTCCAGGGATTAGCGGTTGCAGCTCGCTGGAGATGGCCTCATGGATTTCTCCTCGCCGACTCATCTGTTCCGGGTGAAGATCTGGCTCTCTGTTCTGGGGTGGTCGCACAAGTTCGTCCATGTCCGGTGTACAAGGCAGTTGTCCCACGGCTCTGGGACTGTTGAATCTCGACGGTTCAACCTGCTCTTGCCGCCACTGGAGATACTCCGGATCAAGCAGAGCTTCCGCATTGGCTCCACGCGGCATCTCATCGAACCAACTAACTCTCATACTTTGACTCTCAGCGGCCGAGGACCTGAACGGCGACATACTGGGTTGCCACATAATACCCTGGCTCGGACGCATCAGAGACACTTCTCGCTGATGTGCTGGACGAGTCGGGAACCGGACCACACTGACCACCGTAGTTTCCTGAGGTATAGGTACGACACCCGTTGATTGACCCGCCTGGCTGTGGCTGGTCATGTAATGACGGTAAATGCCTTTGTTGATAAACCAATGATGTCTGTACTCTCCAAGGATATTTCTGATTGCTCGTTCACCTGCTCGTTCACGAGATTGCCACGAATACCCTGGATCTACAGAACTGACAACCTCCTCAAACGATTGCCTGAGGTCCCTTTCTGTTGCGACCGAGAGCACTGAGAACAACCTCGCCTCTAGCAGGAGCTGGGGATCAATGCTGCGGACAAGAGCATCGCTTGGCGGATCGTTGCTCAGAAGCAAGGTCTCGATGGGAAGAGAGTCCCTAGTGTCAGGCATGAGTTTGTCCAAGAGGGCTCCGAATTCGATGAGTAATCTTGTCTGCTCTAGACTTGGCTCAGGACGGTTGTTTGAGGTCGGCTGGGGACCAAGATCGAGACGAAGCTGCTCCAATCGCCCCAGGTCGCGCACGAACTCAGAGCGATACCTCCAGCGATTCTCGAAAGTGACGCCGGAAACTGGATCGGTCCCCAAGATGAACAGTCTGCGATAACGCGTCTCCACAGTTGTGTATCCACCTGTTACCGGGTGGGGCATGACACATGCGGGCATCGGCTCCAACTCGTGAATGGCCCTCAAGGCGCGTTGGAATCGGGGGTCGGACGGTGATGGCCCAGGAACATCGAGGTTGTGGTGCCTAAGCTCGCTCACGAGAAGGTCGTCGTGGTTGCGAAAAGCAGCCACCATATCCCCGAGCATTGACACGCGGGCACTCAGCTCGTCTAAGTTCGAGACCAAGGTCGCTAGATCTGACTCTCCATCGACATCGTCTGGGCGTGGCTGCGTCGTTATGATTAGCGAATGCGCGTTGATTGTTTTTGTAAACACTACTTACAGGTAGAGGGTGGCGAGTCGGAAATAGCTCCTGACGACAGTTCGGACAACTGCTATGCTGCGTGTTCGGTGAGTTGAGCCAGGCCAGCAAACAATGCTTGTGGAAAGTATGGCCGCAACGGCGGATCTCGTCAACGTCCTGACCCGGCTGTTGCTCGTTGAGACAGATTGTACAGTGCGTCGGTGTGTCATCGCTGCTTGTTGTCGCGCGTAAGCCGATGCGGACGAAGTCCTCTTGGTTCGCTGCCATTGCGACTTCCGGCGGTATTTCGATGATGGGTCAAGAGCTGTCGCGGCAATGAAACTGCAGGTAAGAGGGATGTTGGGTGAGCTCGGACTCCCTGCCTGCTTTTCCACTTCTTCGATTCACTGTCACGTTCTCCGTACTCGCGTTTGTACTTTGTGGTCACTCGGCTGCCTAGACAACCAGTCTCGCAAGTACTCTCCAATATCGTTACTGGACGCTTGACAAACGATCATTCCAGGGAAATTCTCTTCTACAATTATCAACCATTACGAGTACTCGCTATCTGCAACCTCGCTATCCTTCAACATGTCCTTTTGTCCAGCTCCAACGGACCAACAAAAGCGGGAGACACCACAAAACAGCGGCGAGAGAGTCACACGTGCTGTACGGAAGATCGAGCCCTGCATCGGCGTTTGGTACGATGATGGTTCAAATGCACCTGGCATGTTTCATCTTCTCCACTGCGGCCATGTTGTCGCTATTGATTCGCAGGATACAAGATGCGCTAGAAACTGCCGATACCCCATAAACCCTATCAACCCACGATTCTCAGATACTGTTGTAGGGTCTACTTCCAACCCGTACGTCATCGACGAAACTTCTAAGTTCTTTCAATTGCTAAATCATCCTCTTCTAGTCTAGATTTCCCCCGTCTCCTACGCTCTATCCACCGGGCGGCGCGGCCGGATTACATCTATTGCGAGGTCTGCCACGGCCTTCCAGTAGATCACTACCACTCTCAAAAGCCAGCAACAGAGTTTCCACAACTTCTACCTCGACGCTCTCTCGCCCTTACACGAGGAGAAATAGTAGCGGCCCTTCAGATCCCGGACGACCAAGTGGAGACCTTATTGGCGGCACCGTTTCCCAAACCCGATCTCCAAGAGCACAGCCTACAGTGTGGCCACAAGGTCTGGTGTGTTGCGCCACAACCATGCTGTCAGAACTGTCTCTTTGAGAAACCCTGCGTGGGGGATTCCATATCAATTCATCTTCAGAAGGATCCTGGCGTCATCTTCTGTCAGGAGTGTGTCTTGAGAGCGGAGCGGCTTCACACGAGGTACGAGGGTATTGCGATGCGACTGGAATCGAGACGGAGCGCAGCTAGGGACCTCCCTTGATTTCTAGGTCTGTTTATCTTTCCATTCTACGTTCATTCTCGGGGCATTGCGTTCCATACACTCTGTCATGGTTTTCCATTCGTATGAAGTAGCGCAGACCAATTTCTCATCTTCCCAATACTTTTCGTGATGAAAGCGCACGACCGATGATCTTGATGACGTTTCTGGTGGAGGCTAGGGTTCTGTTCTCACTTTGATAGCGCGCAAGCTCCTAGGCCTATTCAGTTTTCACTATGCTAGTGGAGCTGCGCAGCTTTGGTTTTTCCACTATTGTCGAACGCCTGCTCGTTCTATTGTTCTACAGTCTCGGAGCCTAGCGTGCCTGGACGCACCGAGCGACAACCGCTCACCTTCACTACATTTAGCAAAATAGGCTACGAAGGCTCTCTTAGTTTCTCTCTTCTGCAACGGGTAGTCTGTAACACCAACGCAACTACTCCCTCGTTCTCAACCGCAGACCGATCACATACTTAGCGACTCATCGACCTCACCGCGGGTTCGCATCATCAGCAAACCTTCATCAACAGCTCGATGGGTAAACAGAAGACAGTCACGACGGGAAAGTCGCCGGGACGTCCTCGCGGTGGCGCCAAAGGTGGTAGCCGTGGTGGCGGCCGACCGAAAGGCAGAGCCTCAAAGTCAGCAACTCCAGCGCCATCAGCGCCAGAAGCTGTACCTGATAGACCGGGACCCAAGCTACTGTTCAAGCCATCGGTGGGAAGATCGGACAGCCCAGCGCAGGAGCGCGACGCGACACCGGGATATAGCGAGAGAGACGATCAAGACGACGACCTTCCTCAGCAATCCGTAGAAGCGGCGCCGGTCACGACTCGCACTGGACGAGCGATTCAAAAACCAAACCAGTACGACGCCGCTCAGGGTAGCGAGATCGATGCCTTCATTAATCAGGCTGAGGAAGATGCTAGAGACGATGGCAGAGGATCCGTGGCGAGTGATCCATGTGAGTGCTCCTCTCTCTTGTGTTATGATCACAGATTGCTGACCTTATTCCAGCGTACGTTACACACAAGGCCCAAGAGCAGATCAAGCAGCCACCAAAGACACCAAAGCCAAGAGGTCGTCCGCCTAAGAACTCCACGCCGTTTAGCGCCGCCGCTAGGAAATCAGTCGAACAATACGGGATGTTCGCGTCCCCTGCAGTGCCTCCCCCGTTCATAGCAGACAAAGAAATATACCTCATCCTGAGCAACCTCAAGAGCAACGCCAAAATCAACCTCGACCTTCCCGGCCTCAGCGACGCCGCCAACCCATACCAGGCCCTACCCTACAGCGCCAAGACCCTCACCCAGCTATACATTGTCTGCTACCAAGAGAAGTTCTGGGACCTCTGCGACATGGTAGCCGACACATGGATCCGCAAGTTCCACGACCAGCGCAAAAAAGCTCAAGAAGATAAGGAAAAAGATGAGAAACCAGAGGATGAGAAAACAGAGGAAATTTGGCTCCCGAACCGAGCGCTCAATCGGCGCAAGCGAGTCGCACAACAGGCGTGGCGAAAGGGCAAGAATATCCCGGCAGAGTTTGATCAGTTTCCTAGAGACTACGACTTGGAGGTCACGGATCCTGAACTTGACAAAGATGTTACGTCGGTCCATACTGATCTCCTCAACTTGCTTTACACATATACATCACCGAGGTGTGGAGCGAGACTCCTCTGGGCCGACGCACTCGCCCTGGGCGGCAACAAGGCCGAGCACATCATCGGGAAGGTCACGCGCAAGGGCTTCGCTCTACACCCCGAGCTCCTCTTCGACATCATGCAAACAAGCCTACGCATGGTCCGCAAGAACCTCACGCTCAAGATCGAGGAGAGCACCGAAGGCGCATGGTGCAAGCGATACCACGAGCACGGCAAGAACGGCAACGTTTGCTACCGACAGCGCGCGTCGAGGGTTGACGAGGGCCTAGAGATGGCAATAGAGCAGTCTAGGAATAGGGAAGAGGCTGAAGGGGAGGGTGTAGCTGATGATGTGGATTTGATAGAGGAGTTGGAGTTGGCACTGTGGGCGCAGGAGCAGGAGGAGACTCCCAGGGCTGAGAAGAGAGGGCGCGAGGATGGTGGTGAGGTTAGTCCGAGTAAGCGGGCTAGGTTTGTGGGGGAGGAAGAGGATGCTGAGGGGGACTCTGAGGAGGATTGAGCGAGCTCGGCACACCTGGGAAGAGGGTCCGCGGTTGCCTTTTCCGGGATCCCGGCTACGATGTCGACATCACGGCACGACATCGGTATGCCAACATTTCTGCAGTCAATTAGATACCTAGGCAGCTGAATTACAGGACAAAAACACTTATAGTCACTTACGTTCTGAATTGAAGGCACGATGTGCTGATGATTGCGCACTGTTGCGCAGCCGTGGTTTTATCGCACCTGCCTTAGATTGCCCTTCACTCTATCGCGCCTACTCCCTAGTCGGCACTTCCCTCAGGGCCACGGCACAATGCTAACACGTGCTTCATCGCTTAACTGCCACCTACAGACATCTCGCCATCTCATTTGCCGCCAACACACCGACATTTTCCCATCACCCCAGATCTAACGTTCAGTCACACTCTCCCCACAACTAGTTCCGGATAACCGTACAGGACCCTTCAGGCGTCCAGTGAGAGTGACATGTGAACCTCGTACCCCGGGTCCCATTTCTCCGCACGGCTTGAATCAGTTGTTGTGATTACAAGACGTATAAATGGGTCTTATCCCCAACATTGGCGCCTTGGTCCGTCTTGGTTGATACCCACAATGAGCTCGTAAGTGCGTGCTTTCCACCCCATATGCTTTCCAAGGCGGCTAATCAGTTCAGAGGCGTTTGTCAGCGTCCGTATCCACCCGATCATCCAACATCTCCGCCCGCGGACATACGCACACGATGTCTGGATGGATGTGTTGAACGAAAGCCAATGTCTGTTGAGGGCGACCTAGACGGCAACGGGGATTGAACACAACACCACCTCAGTAGATGTTTCATGCACGGCAATCACCGACACTTGGATTTTTGTGGCTTCGACGGTAGCCGTTTGTATACACGATGCATAAGAGGAAGGATTAGACCCACTGGCATCGCCGACCAGCCGATCAATCTCGCCCGCTGTGGACCAGAAGGATGCCCGCATGATTCTCAAATTTATCGCAGCGCGTAAGAGGAGAGGACATGACTTCGATGATGTTTACGAAAGATACGATGTAGCAAAGATGCCGCTCTGTTGACGTCTAGGTCAAGCACTTGGGCGTCCTTTGGCACAACGGCTTGCGCTGTTCACAAGCACTTGGTGAAGGCATGGCAATCTTGGTCTTCGCTAACCATCTCACGCGCACCTCGTGTGTGTGGAGACCCCAAGTCAAAGCGCCTGCGTTCGCACCGATAACCCTCGGAGCTCCGACCGGGGGTGGTGGACGTATCACACCTCTAGACCTGTCTGTTTCTTCGCATCGCATGACAAGATGCACTGCGAATGCAAAGCTCTGTGGAGACAAGCAGAACCCGGGCGGTCTGGGCTTTCGTCAAGACAACAAAGCGCTTGGAGATGTTGTGCTTGCCGTTGTGGGTTCAACGATCCAGCTGCCACTACGGCAGAATACCCTTCCTGCTGGACTTTGGGGTACAGAGCCAAGTGAGAGCCAAGAGTCGGATCATTGTCCTACGACCCATCAGAGGCTCCGACAACCAGGACTCGTATCAGCGCCAGAGCGACCGAAGAAGCGACACATTTTCACACCTGCGCACCGTTAGCTCCATCAGAATATCCTGCAGGCGCCGTATCTATGTCCGATAGTGTAGTCCCCACGGCAGATGCATTGGAGGGACGGGATACCATTTGGGGTAGTCACAACGCGGGCGCTACTGGAAAAGGCTGAAGGAGTTGGAGCCGCATCGCTTGTGTCGACACACCGCCGCGAGACGAGGTCTCGTCCAGGAGCTTAACCTCAGAAGCCGACACCCTGCTCCGACGCTCCTCTCGGCCATAATTCTGCCGGCGAACGGTCTCGTCGCGAGGCAGCGTCAGAATAGCGTAGTAATTTATCCCGCGTGCGAGATTTTCCCGGGATGGTACCAGCCAATAGCGCGGCATGCATTTACGGCACCTCCCCGGCCGCTACGAGGAGCTTGACAAGCTTCTCTTCCTCGACTGACAGCTAACGTGGGAGACCAAGAGAAATCCGGGACACGAGAGCGTTTGGGGGATAATGCGGGGTTCCCATCGTGTGGTGGCCAGGTTCTTGACTCGTCCTTAGCTCGGCCCCAAGCTCCACAAGACGCACGAACAAGGAAGCTTTCTCCACCTAAGCCTGCCAACCTTTCCGCCTCCTTACTGGGCATGTAACCTACGTGCAGATGGCGCTGCCGTGAGAGACACGAAAGGCGACCGGCGTGGCCGCTTGATCGGTAATTGATCAGACGATCAGCGGTCCGCTTACTGCGCGAGGGTTAGTTCCAACGCCTGCAATGGCCGACGAGACGGGTCGACCTATTGAACGTTGGGAAAACCACAGTTGGGAAGGTCATCCGGCATTCCTGGCTCGGAAGACCGACGCCGACCGCTACTGGCGATGGACAAACGTGGAGTAGAGGCTTCCGGGGTTGACTCTGGGGTCTCATGGATGGTGTGATTTTAACAGGCCTTGCATCTGGGATCTCCGCATCTCGTACCCCACCATCAGTTCAAGTATAAGAGGCACATGCGCCTTTGTACAGTTGAGCCGTCACTGCCTTTCCTCCCTGTCCGACAGACGTAGGTTCCGCAGCTCAATCACGACCTTACTCCGATCTACCTATACCAATATCGCCCATCATGGTCGTTTGGAACCCATGGAAGGAGAACTTGAAGCACACTCCCAAGGAGAGCCTTAACTGGCGTCTCTGGTATGGTGTCTTCGGTAGGTTATCTCACCTCCATGAGACTACACCCAACTAACTCGTCGTAGTTTTCGGTCTCATGGGCGCTGCTCGTGGTATCGACGAGGGCCTCATCGGTACTACGGCCGAACTCGACCCCTTCAAACGCAAGTTCGGACTCGAGGAAGACGGCAGCAAGAGCGAGCACGAGATCGCGGAGCTCCTATCGAACATCACATCCATGGTACAGATGGGTTCCATCTTGGGTTCCCTGATTGCCTTCTTCATCACCGACAAGATTGGTCGTCTCTGGGCTACTCGCCAACTTTGCATTGTCTGGGTTATCGGCATCGTCATCTTCCTCACCAGCTCTATCACTGGCTCCGTTGGACAAATCTACGCCGGCCGCTTCATTGCTGGTATCGGTATCGGACAGACCACCGTCGTCGCGCCCACCTACCTAGCTGAGACCGCACCCAGGGCCATCCGTGGTCTCTGTGTCTGCGCTTTCGCTGGATCAGTCTACATCGGTATCATGCTTGCCTACTTCGCATCTTGGGGTTCCTCCATCCACATCTCGTCTGCCACTGATGCTCAATGGCTCGTACCCAACAGCATGCACATCATGTTCGCCGGTCTCATCTTCACCCTCTCTTGGTTCGCAAAGGAGAGTTCCCGTTGGTTGATCAAGGTCGGTCGCCACGAGGAGGCGCTCGACAACCTCGCACAACTCCGCAACCTCCCCGCCGACCACCCTTACGTCACTTCGGAGATTATGGACATCAACGACCAGCTCAACCGCGAACGCGAAGCCACTATGGGTACATCTTGGCTCGGACCCATCCGTGAGCTTTTCTCCAGCAAGGCCAACCTCTACCGTCTTCAGCTCTCTGTCCTGTCGCAGTTGCTATCGCAATGGTCGGGAGCCAACTCCATCACAATGTAAGTTCGACACTCAGATTCCATTCCTCGCGCACGCAACTAACACGATCCCCAGCTACGCACCCAAGTACTTTGAGATGATGGGCACCAGCGGTCAACAAGAGAAGCTCTTTGCCACAGCCATCTTCGGTGTCGTCAAATTTGTCAGTTCCATGATCTGCGCCTTCTTCCTGATCGACTTCCTCGGCCGTAAGCGCTCTCTCGCCACCGGTATCACACTTCAGCTCCTATCCATGCTCTACATGGCCATCTTCCTACTCATCGACACCGGCGTTGCCGATGGCGTACCCCAGAGCTCCAGCCAAAAGCACGCTGCCATGGGTGCCATCGTCATGATCTACTTCTCCGGTTTCGGTTGGGCGCTCGGATGGAACTCGATCCAGTACCTCATCAACTCCGAGATCTACCCTCTCCGTCTCCGTGCTCTTGGCGGTTCCATCGCCATGACATTCCACTTTGTCAACCAGTACGGTAACTCCAAGGCTGTACCTCTCATGTTCATTTCCATGACCCACGGAGGTACTATGCTGTTCTTCTCCTGCGTCACCGCCGTTGGTCTCGTATGGGTATACTTCTTCCTGCCTGAGACTTCTGGAAAGTCGCTCGAATCTCTCGACGAGATGTTCAACCTTCCTTGGCACCTTATTGGTCGCAAGGGTGCCGAGCTTACAAAGGGTTCTGGCGGTATGGCTGAGATTATGGATGAGTCGGGTGAGAAGGCTGTTGAGTACCAGATGGAGAATGCTGGTGGCGCGGAGCAACAGACTCACCGTGTGGAGCAGAAGGTCTGAGCCACTGCGGCAGTCGTACGAATACCCTGTATATAGCATCGCACACATCAATCGTGTTGCTGGATGTATATGAATGAAGTTATGAACATAAAATCCTTTCCTCATGCATGCGCACGTCTAGTAATCTCTCAATATACTAACAAGTTACAACTACCACATGTACAATCCCACTGCTTTCACCCGATTTCCGTCAAGCATGCAAACTTTTACAGTTGAATTAATACCTATGTTTCCTAAAACAAATGCTGACTTCGACTAAAAGATCATCAGCCTCTTGGGATAACTCAGCGTATACCCACAGTAGGGAGCGACAAGCCAACTCAAACCCGGCGCCAGGTGAGTCAAAGCCTAAAGCTCAACCAATGTGGAGGATAAGCTTTTGGTACCCTAGAGTGATGATAGTATCAGGAAAACGGTCGTCCCCAACGCCTCGCTCGAACCATGATACCCCGCCGCCCCATAACAATGACAATGAAAGATACCCGTGCATAACTTTGGGAAGAAAAGGAAAGGAGCAGCCAAACTACTCACGCCCATATCGCAAGTATCCAAGCCACCAACACACCATCGCACCTAAACCCCACCAGCCAGAGAAGAACGCTTTGACCGCCTGCCTCGCTGACTGCCCTCATCCGTCTCCTCCGCAAGCCACAGCGCAACCTCCAGCTTCGTCGCCGTCACCTGCTCCCCCGCCGCTTTCCTAAACACCCTCATCACCTCCCCCACAACCGTCACGTCGTCCTCCATGAACGTGATCTGGCGCAGAAACGCGTATAGTGACGTACTACCCAACTTGATCTTCCGCTGGATCTTAGCGGTATCCAGACCAACGGTTGTAGGAGTGAGGTGGCTGGAAAGGGAGGCGAAGGCCTCGCAGATATCTTCTTTGGTCGTTGTGCCGTCCCAGAGTTCGAAGTCGAGGGTGGTGATGAAGGTTTCTAGGGAGACGGGGCCGAGGAGGGTTGTGCGTGCTTTTGAGGCTGCGCGAAGGATGGATGGGGTGGAGTGGGTTGAGGAGTGGCTGGAGGGTCTGAATGATTCTATGGTGTCGGACTCCGAGGATGAGTCGGGGATGATTACCGTTTGCTCGACGGTGGTGGCTTCGTCGGTGGTAGGGGGTTTGGAAAGAACAGTTTGCCAGAACCCATGGGTAGGAGTTGCGATGACGACAGACGGCTCGTCGCGCGTTGCATCCTCTGTACTCAGCTCCTCAACAGCAGAGATAGGCTCCTCAGTAATGGGAGGCACCATGCTGCGAAACAGTGGATCAACGGCATCAGGGTCAGCGGTCCAAGTCTCAATATACCTGTTGGCCTTCTCGGCTTTCTTATTCTTATCCTGTTGTTTGGGGACCGGAACTTCGGGTGGCGCTACATGCATAGCCACGAGGTCGTTGTGAAAGTCGCGAGTTTCTTTGGTCTCACCCGAACCGTTGGGCTTGCGGAGAAGAGAGGCGATAAAGTCAGGCTCTTTCTTCTCCGTAGCGACGGACTTCTTCTTGCCAGCTTTAGTAGCCTTCTGGTTGGTCTTTGAGGTCCTTTGCTGCTTGGGCGCAATGACCGGCAGCGAGAGAGGAGTGATATGAAGGGCAGCCAGTCTCTCATGCAAGTCGCGCGCCTCCTGGGTCTCACCTGGGCCGTTAGGCTTGGAAAGAAGAGAGGCGACAAAATCAGGCTTCTTCTTCTCAACCGGAGTGGATATCTGGAGGTCGGCTTTGGTAGCTTTCCGGTTGGTCTTCTGCTGCTTGGGTGCAGTAACCGGCAGCAGGAGAGGAGCGACATGAAGCGCAACTAGCCTTCCATGGAGATCACGAGACTCTGTGGCCACACCAGAGCCATTGGGCCTCGCAAGAAGTGTCGCGACGTATGTGTGTTCTTCTGCTATGACAATTGGGTCGACAGTATCCATCGCAGTCTCCGTAGAGTCGGGCTCGGGAAGCTTTTGAACCACATCGGACTTCGTCGTGGCCATCTCCTTAGGTGCCTCAGATGTCTTAGCGGCCTTCTTCTGAGCCTTGCTAAGCTTCTGCTGCTTGGCTTCAGCGACCGGCAGTACAATGGGAGTAACGTGCATGGCGACCAACTTAGCTTCTTCGTCGCGGGATAGGCGCGAAGGGTAAAGAGCCGAGTTGGGCATCGACAGAATCGCCGAAGGGCTACAAGTCGACTTTTCATCGCCAGTCACCTTGGTCGGCTCGGACGACGTGTCAGTTGCCTCAGCCAGATCTTCAGTCATCGAAGGCTCCTCATCCGCATCATCTGTCGGAGCAGTGACATAGATGTGGGGTAGTGCAGTAATGCCAGCAGCTTCGGAGGAGTCGTCATTGTCTTCAGTGACCTGCTCAGGAGAGGCAAGCTCTTGAACTAATTGGGGAGCGTCTTCGTCTGACTCAGTATCAGGTTCCGTGACCTTATCTGACTCAACGTCGGTGTCAGACTGGGCAGTCTTGGGCGCATCGGTGGACTGGAAGGCAGGTTCAGGGACGCTGTCGGGCATGCGCTGCTCAATGCCGTCGCCGTGAACGTGGGCGGAGCAAGGCTCATGCGCAGAATGTTTGGTATGAATGATGCGCTCAACGACGCCGTCAACAACGCGCTGCTCGACGATGTCGCTGTAGCTGTAGCTTGGGCGCACTATCCGCAGAGGAGCAAGACGTTTCTCTTCAGCGCTAGCTTTCGTCTTCTCCACTGTTGCTTCAATGTCGTGAGTCCGATTGACAGGAGGTGGAAGCGGCTTCCGGTTCTTCTTCGCAGGTCGACGTGTAGGCCGGCTAGCTTGGGCTTTGAGGATCGCGTTCTTGCCCTTAGATGCCAACTCTTGCGTAGCCTTGTTCTTAGCCATTTCGGACTTCCGCCGCTGTACGGCAACCTGTTCAATACGCTTGGCCTCTTTCTCGGCAGCTATTTTCTTGAGAGCTTCTTGTTTGGCGTCAACAGGAGTGTTGGTGTTAGTGCTGTCAACGGTGACGGCATCGGATGCATCGGTGGTAGCATTAGTAGCAGACATCTTGTTAACTGCGTACGTGACTGGCTGGAAGCTTTCGATTTTGTTCTTGCGTGGCTGGGTCTGGTTGAGTTGCAGCAGGCTTATGAACAGAGGTATCTGAAACAGTGAGCAGGCAGTTCAAGAATGTGGGTTGAGTGTGAAACAAACCAGTTGCTTCGTATAGATGGGAATAAAAGTGTTGCTCAGATCTGCTCGTATGAAAGTGGAGTAGAGAGCTGGTTTAGTGAGAGTTCCTCACCGAAAGGGGGTGTTTATATGGGTGAGGCGTGTAAAACTCCACTAAACGCTCAGACCAGGCGTGAATGGAGCTCGTGCTTGAGGTAGTGACAGAAAGCTAGACCGTGACCCGACTATGCGTTAATGAAACAACAGGTGGCGGGTATCAGCTTTCACTGACAAGTTGACGACTACCTGCAGGATGGTGGACTCAACCGCACTCGCCAGGTATTTTTGGACAAGGCGGTCTCCCCGATCACATCTTGTCTCTCTGCGCTTGGAGCCGTGTAGAGACAATCCAAATTTCAGCTAGACTGTCATGGCTGAGACTCATCGAAGCCGCATGACCTTGCGCGCGGTTGCGTCTGGCATGGTCAACACCGTGTTTAATACCGCCAGCTGTGATTCACCTGCGGTGTATCTAAGATTCACATCGGTCCAGAACCAGAGTGGACCCGCGGTGCTATTGATTCGCCAAGCGCCGGAGAGAAAGGAAAACCGCATGATATCGAAAACATGCCATGGAGAGTTCGGACAATTTGAACTGCGTGCTGGGTGTGCGACCAGAGGTTCCTCCACATGGGAACCTAGGAAAATCAGATGCAGCTGACGAGGCTTACGGAACCTCAGAAACGCTACTTCGCGTCCGACCGTGACAGCAATAGTGTTCGAATGGATTTGTGTAGGTTGATGCGCCGACAAGGTGATGACATAAGGAGACAATCGCGTCAGGAAGCTGCTCAAATGCAGTGGCATTCGTCAGCACGGCGCAGCAAAAAGTATCATACCGCCTTACGTCGCGTGTGCTGCAGAAGCACTCAGCTCCGATAACATCTCGAGACATCACTATTGACGTTAAAAAGATGCGGCTGTCGCTTTGCGATGACCAGCATGGTGGTGAGTTGTGGTGGTTGAGGTGTAGAGGTGGCGGGCCACAACCGACTCCCATCCCAATTGCCCCCGGGCCCGACCGACCCCATGATGTATACTGTAGGCAAAAGCAAGAGCAAAAAAACTGATCTCTCCAGCGGGGAATTGAACCCCGGTCTCCCGCGAGTTGCCTGATAGGTGACAAGCGGAAATACTGACCACTATACTACTGAAGATTGATCAACCAGATGGTTGAGTAGGTGGATCGATGGATGAAATCGCAAAATTTTAACTTATAGATTTTTGTGCGTCTTCTTCTGCCTCCAGCGCTACGCTCTACTGGTCTACGCAGACGAAATCGATTGAAAAACAAGACGTGGTTCCCGCTTGGAGGTGGGGCACGAGCCGGACCGGTGGCACCTGCATTCCCAGCCTCAAATCCTCGGCACCTACCAACCACGACAAACACCCACAAACATCACAACAGCGACAAAACTAATAACCGCTGCCTGCTTCAATCATCACGTCTCATCCTTAACAAGTGTCCCTTGGACTATCTGACATGAACGCAAGTGTCTTGCCCCTGAACCCGAAGCGCCGACGGGTCTCTTAGTGGAGACCCCGAAAGAAATGATCCCGAATCTTCAGGCAGTGAGATCGCGGAACGACCTACAGTTGATGAGCGCGCAAGGTAAGATGCGGTGTGGTTCTACCGATGACACGCATGCCCATGTGAGGCATGGGCATTGGAAGCTGCCCCTGCAGCTCGAACCAGGTGCGCGGATCAGCATCGCGAATGATACCGCATCTTGCCACATACGCATACGTGTATTGTGTAGAATGGAAATTGAGGGAACGCTCCATCATTTTATGAATTCAAGTTGAGGCACGAGAGGTGCAGTGTGTTCTCATCGCAAGATGAATATGCAGATCTATCAAATCTGCCTAGGTGGGGAAGGGGAGAGCGCACAAGATGTTTGCCAGAAAAGGCAGTGTAGACGCCCATTCGCGCATGTCCGTCACCATCATCCGGGTATCGTGGAGGCTGAACCGTCGGCTCATGCCGTATCCTATCGGCGTGGAACAGCATTCTCGTGGCGTGTGATGTTGTACTATGCCACGATGTAGCGCTGGGTTACTACGTGCGCGAGGCTATGCAATGGGCTGTAGGCCTAAAGTTACTATACGCGACGAGTGTGAATCTCCCAAATCTGCGAGAGAGCGTCCTGTAATATAACAGAGTGCAGACGCGATGCGCTTCTGCTCAAGATCAATAGTCTGACGCTGTGCCGTTCGACTTGTTCTATTGTAGGCGGAACCGCGTAGACACCAACCCAGGCAGACTGCCCGTGCCATGACCCCGACTCATACCGCCAACAACTCGCAACACCATGACAAAAGGTCGACGATGAGGTCGCAACATTTCCCATTGCGATAGGAGCGGCGACGTCATGTCTGACCGGCAACAGTGTCTACCGGAGAGCACAGAGTGGCTAGCGCTGCAACAGAAGGGAAAGTGAAGGATGGAAGCAGGCAAATCAGAGAAGAAGCGGTGGCTCATAGAGTAAGCTGCACTACCCAAGGTGCGGCGCGGGTCAGCGAGATTGAGCAGACATGGGCAGAGGGCTTGGCTGGGAATTGGAGGTGACGCGTTCTGGAATCTGGGGTCGCCCTGGGCAGGCGGGAGAGACAAAGAGAAGCGGAGTCGCGGGCTGGAGGCCTTGATTCATGGTGTTGTTGGAGCGTCGGATGAAGTCGCGATGGTCGCGACGAGAGGCCCAGCCGCTGATCAACAGGCAAGTCTTTATTGCGATGTCAAATGCACTGCATTGAAGATGCTCACTGCCATCTTGATCTACGGGGGGCATGTCGGCAGGGGTGCAGCAATGCTCAGCAGGACGTCGAGTGGCTGAGCGGGCATGCAGGCGTCCTCCGCCTCAGCGAAGTACGAGCACGTTGGCGCCCTCTTCTCCCACCGCCCGTTCAGCCCACGTCTTCGCTCGCTACTGCTCTGCTCTTATTGCTATTCAATAAGAACGAACGGCATCTTGTCCTGGTCGCTCGTTGTTGTTTTTCCCACCAGCTGGAACCATTGCGCCGTGCACCTGCCGCTTCGCCCCGGCTATCCACCTGCACTCGACGGACCGAAGCGATCTGCACCGCGTCAGGCTGAATAGCAGACAGCCAGGCGCCAGTGAGGCTCATATCGCATTCTGGAATTCGACAATAACTAGCCTCGACGTTTGCCACAGTCACTCGTTTATTCATCGTTCGCGCGCTTCTGCTCTGCATGCCGACGTCTTCTTGGTTGCTCGCTCCCACTGCGCGAGAGTCATAGCAGAGACGCCAGGCACTACCCGAGACGCGAACCAGGCACCCCGCCGCGCAAGGCGCGAACCACCGACTCAATGCGCTCTAGCAACAAGAGCTATCACAACATCAGCGAGTCGGGCCATGAGAAGAGAGAGGGCACGCCGTGGTACTGGCGCCTTATAGCCCTGGCTGCGTCATGGATGATACTCGGAGGGTGAGTGCTTGCGATGCGATGCGTCTCGAGGCGGCTCAGACGAAAGCATGCTAACGCCTCGAAGCTACCTCATACTGCCCGGCCTCTACAGAGAAACATACGAGCTCAAGTTCAGCCGAGCAGTCCTCTCTGTCTTTGTTGTCGCGCTCCTTACAGCCGGCTACTCGTTCACAGCACTGCTCTGCTTCGCCTGTCGCAATGAGCGCTTCCAAGCCGACGGCGTCTTCCTGTAAGGCCTCCATGCCTCCACCAACAGCGGAATACTAACCATATGTGTAGACCTGCGCTCACATCTTCCGCACTCGGCCTTATCTCGATAGCCTACAACTTCGTCTCCTCGCCCAACTACCACTGGGGAAATGCCGCCATAAGCGGCACCGTCATCAGCGCCGCCGGAACAATCCTCTACAGTTCCCTCCTCCTCTGGACATACCGCCGCATAGTCAAGTCCAAGCGACAAACCGACACACGCCAGAACCTCTGGTCCGACCAAAACTACTACAACAACTTCATCCCAAACATGTACCCCACCGCCATGCGCTCGCCCTCCCAGCCACCCGCCGCCCTATACTCCGAAGACGACCGCGTGAACCAGCAAATGGCTCTCCTCCTCAAATCAGGAGATCCGCGACCGAGTCCTGACATAAACACCACTTTCAGAATAGATCTGCCAGAAGACAGGGAACAACAGGCAAGGCACCAGCACAGTCAGGAGTTGGTGGGCACACCCGCACAAACACATGGCGATTGGGGCCGCGACCGATCAGACAGCAGACCCGATAGTCTCAGCGAACAATGGACACAATATGGCCGCGGACGAAGCGAGAACCGCCCATCTAGTACAGAGGGGAGAGGCAGTCACTCGCGCAACCTCAGCCGGGAAGAGCGGAGGCGCGAGATCGAGCTTGGTCAAATACGCGTATGATCATCTCTGTCTTTAGGCTCAGTTCCCATCTCTATCGTCCTTTCACGCAAAACTACGCATTCTCTACGCACACGGATAAGCGTCGGTGTTCCGGGCTTCGGCGCTTTTCGAGTTTCTTTCGCGGATCTGATACCTTTGTGTATTTCTATCATTATAACTGGGACTATCTGGGGGTTGGGGGACGATGTACATGTTGCATGATTGCTTTTGGGGCATATTATGGCGGAGTAGATTCTTTGTGTTTTTGTGTTGTTCTTACTATCTAGTGGAATCGAATCGATATTACTACCACGTCCTTTGGTCGCTGTCAACGTCCTGCTTTCATTGATGTCAACAATATTACCAGCGTCTTTATCGACCGTCGCCCCACTCCCTTCCCTCGCCATCCCTCGGCTGCATGTCCGCCTATCTCCATAGCCCCATACCTCCTCCTCAATGCTAAGCCAAGGTCCTCCACCTCGG